GCAGGGGCTTCAGCTGCAGGTGACAGGCTCTTTTTCTCTCAGGAACACAGAAAATGGCTCTGCCCCCTCCACAGCCCCCACCGACCAGAACCGGCAGCCATTTGAAGTGAGTCGGGGTCCCTGGTCCCCAGGTCTTCCCCTGTCCTACAGGAGGTCACACCCAACCCATACTTAAGTGGTACTTTTCCTAGCCCTGACAGTTGTCTCCCATCTGTTGACTGACTGTGGTCCATGGAGGCCTCATTGCATCCTCTCCACAGAGTGTGGACCAGCACCTGTTTACGCTGCCGCAAGGGTACAGCCAGTTTGCTTTCGGCATCTTTGACGATAGCTTTGAGATTCCCACGTTCCCTCCTGGGGCACAGGCCGATGATGGCAGGGACCCTGAGAGCCGACGGGAGAGAGAACACCAGTCTAGGCATCGGTATGGGGCCCGGCAGCCCCGTGCTCGCCTTACTGCCCGGCGGGCCACTGGCCGGCATGAAGGTGTTCCCACGCTGGAAGGGTAAGTAGGCCAGGGTAGGTGGTGAGGGCCTCAGTGCCATAGTAGAACATAGAGACATGGGAGGCAGGCACACTCCACTGACTCCGAGTCTGCAGGCTTCCTTAGGAGCCTCACATGGCTGCCTGTGGGGCCATCTAGCCACTTCTCTCCTTAGACGGGGCCCAAGGAGCCCGGGTCACCCATGGGAGCTGAGCACTGCTTCCCCAACTTCCTGTGGAAATAGAATAGGCTGGGGTCCATGCCCTTATTGCCATGTCCCATGGCCTCTGGCTACTTGAGTCCCTGTTATATTAATTTAGCAGTGGTTCTAACCATCCCAAGCCCCCACCCACCCCACCCCCACCCCCGCATGTGACAGAAGAGATCACACCAGTTGAAGGCTACCTGCCGGGGCTTCAGAGCAAACCTCTATGTTGTGATGAGGTAGTGCTGGCCACTGCAGGCCCCTGTGACACCATCTCTTCCACAGGATCATCCAGCAGCTCGTGAATGGTATCATCTCCCCGGCCGCTGTACCCAGCCTGGGCCTTGGTCCCTGGTGAGTAGGGGACGGGTGCCCGGCCCCTTCCACCCTGCGCCCCCTGACCCGGCCTCTCCCCCCCAGGGGCGTCCTGCACTCGAACCCAATGGACTACGCCTGGGGGGCCAACGGCCTGGACGCCATCATCACACAGGTACAACTAGCTACTCAGCATCTATGGGGGGCCAGGAGGCCAGCCTAGTAAGGCAGATGGGATGCAGGCTCTGCAGCACCGGAGGCCCCTGCATCCTGCCCTCAGGCATCAGACAGCTCAGTGGTTGGTCCCTTCTTTCCTTCCTCTTGAAGGTTATCTGTTGGCCTGGGAAGGACAGTGGCCTGTCCAGAGCTGTACGCCTCAGATGGCCCAGAGGTTTAATAGGTTGGGTGTATCTTGCTGGTTGCAACCTTGCAGAGCTGGGCAGGTGGAGACTCCCCAACCCCTGCCGCCCCATTGAGAGCCATGTCCCCCTCAGGTCACTGCTCCTTGTCTTTCAGCTCCTGAATCAGTTTGAGAACACGGGCCCCCCACCTGCAGACAAGGAGAAGATTCAGGCCCTCCCTACGGTCCCCGTCACAGAGGAGCACGTGGGTATGCTCACGGGGTGGTGGACAGAGTCCCCAGGGACCTCCCTTCTGTGGCATGACTCTCAGTGGCCTGCTTCCTCTGCAGGCTCAGGGCTGGAGTGCCCCGTGTGCAAAGACGACTACGCGCTGGGTGAGAGTGTGCGGCAGTTGCCCTGTAACCACCTGTTCCATGACAGCTGCATTGTGCCCTGGCTAGAGCAGGTGACTCTGCCCTGCCCACCAACCTAGACCCAGCTCTGACCTTAACCCTAATCTGCTTGCCTGCCAATCAGAAACCTTGTGCTCATCCTGACCACAACCCTAACACTAGTCATGACTTACCTGACTGTCCCTTCCTTCCCTGAACTCCAAGCCTGCCTTTGTCATGCCTGTCTCCAGCTGTGACCCCGACTCTTACTTGTGCCCTGAGGCTGACCTCTCGCTAGCCCTGGCTTCACTCTACCCCAACCCAGATCCAGAAAAATTCCTGGGTCAGACTATGTGTTAGCATTGGCATCGGCATTGACTCTGACTTTGCTGCTGTGCCCGTCTGCCACCTAACCTGGACCCCAGACTCTAATTCTAACCCTGATCATGGCTCTGACCGCAACCCTGATGTTAACCTAGGCCCTGGGGACTGGAGAGATGGCTGGGATCACTGGCTGCTCCTCCGGGGGTCCTGAGTTCAATTCCCAGCAATTACATGATGGCTCACAACCATCTGTTATGAGATCTAGTGCCCTCTTTTGGCCTGCAGGCAGACATGCAGGCAGAGCACTGTATATATAATAAATAAATCTTTTAAAAAAACTAGGGACTCTTTGCTTCCTGATTGAGGAAGCCATGAGAAACTGCGTTAAAATAAATCTTCCTTCCTTAAAAAAGAAAAAAAACTGGCGTTGGTGGCGCACGCCTTTAATCCCAGCACTTGGGAGGCAGAAGCAGGCAGATCTCTGTGAGTTCGAGACCATCCTGGCCTACAAGAACTAGTTCCAGGGCAGCCTCCAAAAGCCACAGAGAAACCCCATCTTGAAAAACCAAAAAAAGCAAAAAACACTAGGCCCTGACCCACCCCTCCCTCTCTCTAACTCTTCCTCTGTTCTCTCAAGCATGACAGCTGCCCTGTCTGCCGCAAGAGCCTCACTGGACAGAACACGGCCACCAATCCCCCAGGCCTAACTGGGGTGGCCTTCTCCTCATCCTCATCCTCATCCTCGTCCAGCTCGCCCAGCAACGAGAATGCCACAAGCAACTCCTGAGTCCCACCTGGCCACCCATCCACCCACCCCCGGGGCTCGGTCATCCCACTCGCCCCAGGTGCCCTAGCACCGCCATGGCCGTGGACTAGAGGTGCTGCCCCATGGTGGCCAGCAGCACCTGGCGGGCCCCAGGCTGCGACAGGCTCGGACTTGGCCATGGCCGCTCCTGTTTGGAGGCAAGCACCTGGGCCCCATGTCCCCAGCAGGCGCCTCCAGTCCGTCTTTAACCTCACCCTCCAAATGTTCAACGGCAGAAGGGTTTTTATGATTTTAAATTATTACTGCTTTGAAATAAATGGACGTTTGAGCCACGTGCGGCCATGCATGATCTGTGGAGGCAGCAGAACTGTCGCCAGACCCAGCCCGCCACATGCCCTGGGAGGCCGGCCCAGCACCCAGCCAGTGCCGGCCTCGGGACCACGAGGGTGACCAGCAGACCCAGGAACAAACTGCTCCAGCAGACTTTTTTTTTTTTTTTTAAGGGAAATGTGTGTTATCTGGAAAGCTATTTAAAATACACCTACTCAAAAAGCAGAGCCCATGGCTTGGCGTCTTCCTTCAGCCAGGGTGTTCATGACTCACGTGGGGGCAGCTCACAGGGTGGGTTTGTGCTTTGGGTGAAAGCCTGAGGAGACCCAGGCCTTGGCAGTGTTGAGCAGGAGGGGATTTCAACTGTCTTCAGGGCACTTGGGTGGGAAGCCATCCAGTACAGGCCCTGCATGTGGTGGCCTTGAGGTGGGGCCTGTGACCAGGGGCCCTGCAGTCTCATCCACATACTGCTTGCCTGCCTTTGCTGGGAGTGATGGACTCACAGCATCTATAAGGGCTCACCCAAAGCCACGCCAGCACTGTCCTGGGTAAGCAGGTCCCCAGCCCTCCTCTCCTAAGCGTCCATGAGGGAGACTCGGAGCAGTCAGCTTTCAGCAACAGTGTGACCTGCCTACTCTGTTCTCATGTTTAGGACCTGAAGAGCCTCAAGAACCATGTTTACTTCAGCCCTGGCACTGCTGGTGTGTCAGCCGATTGGCCTTTGGTTGCCCTCTACTCTGCCATGGTCTGGGGTACAAGTCTTGTCTTTCTCAGGTCAGTGGTGCTTAGATGACAAAGCTGCCAGCCACATCCCACCCTGACGGCCTGAGAGCAGAAAGGATGCCACCTACAGGTACCATGCAGACCGACATTCCCCGGAAATGCTGGCATGGCAGGCACCCTTGGCTGTGCCTGCCAAGGACTAGAGTGTCCATTCTGAAAGCTGTCGGCACAGTGCATGTGTCCTGCCTGTGACCAGCAGCCATGCTCACCAAGGCTTAAGACATTTATTGTTGATGTTTCTGGGACAGAAGCTGACACTGGCGTCTCCAGGCTGTGATCTAAGTGACTTTCCCAGTGACTCCAGGGAACACAGGCAGTGAGCCCATCTAGTATTCAGAGGTCCCATGTCAGCCCCGAATGGTGGTACACACCTTTAACCCATCACTTGGGAGGTAGAGGCAGGTGGATCTCTGAGTTTTGAGGCCAGCTGGCCTACAGAGTGAGTTCCAGGACAGCCAGGAATATGTAGAGACAGTCTCAAAAAAAGTGTGTATCTTTTTATGTGTATGGGAAGCAGAGTATGTACACATGTGTAAGGTGCCTGCAGAGGCCAGAAAAGGGAGTTGGGTCCTCTAGAGTGGATAATACAGGTGATTGTGAGTGGCCTCATGTGGGAAAACTAAACTCAGTCCCCCTGAAAGACCAAGAAGTGCTCTTAGCTCCAGCTCCTACTCTGATCACATGGGACAATAGGTCTGTGTCACTATTAACACCCTCCTGGGCCATGCTGTCCCCAACATGTCTACTCTCCCCGGGCTTTCCCTGTCTTACTTTCTCATCCACCTGGTATGTCCCCACCTTGAAACCTCTCCATGCTGTGCCCAGAGCATATCAGGCTAAGCCTGGCAGTTCCCTCACCGCCAAACTAGATGGATGGAAACTGTCAGTTCTGTGTATCCCCTGAGAGTTGGCCATGCCTGGCACACAGCAGGCACCAGGCTTGTGACATAAGGAAGGGCATGTGTGGGCCAGGATCTCTGGCCTAAGCTCCTTGCTGCCCAATTCCAGATCTTCCAGGCCTTTTCTGCTGCCCATGCCTCCTTAACCACCATCAAGCCCTTCAAGACGAGACCAGCACTGGCAGGAAGTGTGTGGATAGTTGGGGCCGCCGTGTCCGCCTGCCTTGCCGGGGAATGCCCTGGCCATCCAGTGCCAGGAACATAGGTCGGCCGTGGTGCCGCCAGCGTCGTGAAGCGTATGTGTTGTAGCCGTTCTCCTCAATGCGCTCCCAGAACCTACAGTCCACAGAATAGACCCGCTGCAGTGCGGGCATGTGAGGTTGGCTGTCTGCCCCACCAGCCATTACCACCCAATGGCTGCCCGCTGCCCATCACTCACCGACCCGTAGAGGCGGCCTCTGCGATTCATGGCCACATAGAAGCCTGAGTATACAGCCTTGATCACCACAGTACCCACACGGACAGAGCGGATCTCAACAATACCTGAGGGGCCGAAAGAGGACAGTCAGGCGGCAGCCACGTTGAGCTTCCAAGTCTCATCACTGTGTCTCCAACTCCAGCTGGCCTGGATCTTGGAGACCAGGATTCCACAACCAACACGGAGCTTCCCTGGATGAAGAGGACTCTGTTCACAACCACCAGGAGCTAGCCAAAAAACCCCTGGGGAGTCAGGCCATCATCAACACAGGCATACTTGGGCACCAGCTGTATGCCTGCTGCTTCATAGAGCCTATACAACCCTGGGTGGGGGATGCCAACTGTACCTACTTCTAGAAGGGAAACTGAGGCCCAGGATTGGAAGAGCCAGCTCTGGACTCATCTGTCTGTTCCATCCTTCGTGAATGGCCCTGGCAAGCCCTGTCAGAGCCTCAGCTGTCCTCCAGGAACCGGTTCTGGAAGGTGAATCCTACCACAGGCCTCTAGGCCCTCTCCAGAATCTTGAGAGCCCACACTAGGTACATCAGCCACACCATTCTTCCCTGTCCCCTAGAGAATGAGTGCATTTGCTCCACTCCAGGCCCTTGACAGTGGGCCATCTTGGTTATCGTTACATCCTCGTAGCCTCCACCACACGGTAACTACTACGTTCGTTAAGGAGGGAAGAACTATCACCTAACACCCCCATCACTATCTAGGTGGATCTAAATCTCAGAAATACTGAAGGGCCCAGGTCACTCAGCAGGGCCTCTTCCCCAGCCTGGGGCCACCCTGCCTGGCTATGCTACCACGGATGGACCTGCCCAGCCAGTCCCCTGTCATAGCCCTCGTCCTGTGTGGCCTAATGAGGGCCTTGGAACCCAGATGAAAGCCACTGGGATGGGCAGTGCCCTGTCACCTGCCCAGGGCTGAGCTCCAACCTTCCCAGGAACTCCTGCCAGACTTGAGCACCAGAGGAGCTGGCTGTGGCCTCCGCATCACCCCAGCTTCCTTCTCACCGTGGCCTTTCCTCTTGCCACATACATGCCACAAGCACTCATCGAAGGCCTTCTGAGTGCAAGGCACGGTTCTGTCCGGACCCAGCTCCATTCCTGGTCTCTTAGCAAGACCCTGCGATTAGGGCATCCCTCTTACCTCATTTATCAAATAGGGGTGTCTGGGAACAGCGAATCCCAATTCAGGCAGGTCGCAATCCCAGGAGCGGGATTCCTGCCTCGTGGTCCCAGTGGACATGCTCAGCTCCTATGGGCAATCTCAGGTTGACCCTGTATCTAGACCAGTGACTCCACCCAGTGGCCCCTGCCTTGCCTGGGAGTCCACAGGAGGTGTGCCCATCTCACCCTGCTGCCCCAGCACTCACTGTCCTGGCCGTGCTGCCAGCGCGTCCCCTGCACCCGGCCACCGGGGTCCACTCGCAGGAAGAAGTGGGTGGAGGAGAAGAGGCGGCGCCAGCGCACGTCGCCCTGCCGCCGGTTTGTCCCACAGGCCGGTCGCCGTCACCCCGAGGGTGCGGGTGCTGGAGTGGAGAGAGAGATACAAGACCGAGAGCGCAGAGGAAAAGAAATTGAAGACAGAAAGACCAGAGATAGAGACAGAAACCAGAGAGACAGGAGAAAGGGATCAAAGACACCTCTGTCTCTACAGAGGTACAGAGACAGGGAGAGAGGACTGTATAGGAGGAGAGGGAGCCTGGCGGGGGTGGCGCACGCCTTTAATCCCAACATTTGGGAGGCAGAGGCAGGCGGATCTCTGTGAGTTCAAGACCAGCCTGGTCTACAGAGAGAGTTACAGGACAGTCTCCAAAGCTACAGAGAAACCCTGTCTCTAAAAAACAAAACCAGAGTGAGAGAGAGGGGGGGGAGGGAGGGATGGGCAGGTGACAACAAAGGAAACCAGAAGATTTCAGAAGGTGTCACTCTGGCCAGCTGGGCTGAGCGTGCACAGGACAATGTGACTGACCTCTTTTATCTTAGAGAGTCTTAGGCTACCGCTCCAGAGGGGCTCTGCCATGGAAGAATGGACACAAAAGGTTGGGAAATGGTAGACAGCGTGACAGATGTGGGCACCTGTGTTTGGGCAGGAGGGACAGACAGGTATGTCACCACTAGCTAGGGACACTGAGGACTAGAGGACAGCGTCTGGATAGCAGAATTAGGGCGGTGTGTCCACCCCCACACCTGCTTCTCATTGCGGCCACACCTATCTCCAGGAGACACCCATGGCAGCCATGGTCACCAGCACCTGCCCAGTAGCCAGTGGCTCTGAGGGTGGGTTCAATGACCTTCAGATGCAGCCTAGGGTCACTGGTGCTGAGGAACCTTGGCCCTGAATTCCAGCTCCCTCCCCCTGGCCCCAGGCAACACCTTTAAATAGCACCAGGGTGAGGTTCACGGACAAGTTTACCTTTTGGGGAGTCCTCTGGAAAGATAACCAGTCCTTCAGGATGCCAGGATTCCTTCCTGGTGGCTCAGTAGATCCTGTCTCTCCCTGGGCCTGAGTAGGTCACACCAGGGAGTGGTGCCCAGGATGAGATGGACCATCAGCCAGGACCCATGCCTGGGTCCATCTGGATTTCACAGGGCACACACATAGCACAAGGCTCCATGATCCGGTGATCGGTGATCATCCACACCTATGTGCTTCCTCTGTGAGGAAGGTAGACAAGGGAGTGTCTGGAAGGGTACACAATACCAGACAAACAATGTAGCACACAGCACCAAATGCCACCTTTTGTTACTTTTGTTCAGCGGCTGAAACTGAAGTCTCCCCTTCTGGAATGAACACCTTGAAGGCCCTGGCCACACCCCTGGCCATTTTTAGATTCCCTGTATGAGAGGCCTGGATGCACGCCTGGGGAGGTGTCTGACTTGGTTTAATTTAATAACAGCTCATTGAAATATAATTTGCATACCACATAAATCACTCATTTAAAGTATAAACTGAGTTGTTAGTGCATAAGCGTTGGGCAGCCCTCACCTGTCAAACTCCAGACTGTTCCATCCTCCCCATGAGAGTCATCCTATCTTACCAGCTGCCAATATTCTCAGGTCCACTTCCTGTCTCTGGATTCTCCTTTTCTGGGCATTTCCTGTCCTGGAGACCCACACTATATGGCCTTTGGATTTGGTTCTCCCAGTGAATACCATGTCCTTAAGGTCTTTCCAGGCTGTGGCATTTCTGGGATTCTCACTCCTGTTCATGGCTGAGTAATATTCCAAGATAGGATGGCCCATACTGTGTGTGTGTCATCTACCTGTTGAAATTGGGCTATTTCCACATTCTGAAATATTTTAAATTTTGGTGTGGATATGGATTTTCATTTCTTCTGGGATACTTAGAAGGGGGAATCTCTGGTCATGTGGTTTAATTTTATTTGATATCTCAGGTTAGCTTCCAACTCAAAATGCTTCTGCTTCAGCCTACTGAATGCTGGGATGACAGGAGCACTCCACTCCAGAGTAGACTATCCTACTTTCTTTTAACTTTCCCCAAGCAGGGTCTCACTGTGTGGCTCTCTGGCTGTCCTAGAACTCACTCTGTAGACCAGGTTGGCCTTGAACTCACAGAAATCTGCCTGCCTCTGCCTCAGCCTCCTGAGTGCTGGGATTAAAGGTGTGCCATCATGCCCTGTTCTTTCTTATTTATTCAATTTTGGATTAACTTTTAATTATCTAAGAGGGAATGGTATACATGCCACAGCTCAAACATAAAAGTCAGAAGATCTCACTTCTCTACTTCTACTCTGTGGGGCCAGAGGATCAGGCCAAAATCTCACTCCATAGGTTAGCTCAGACTGGCCTTAAACTCAGTTTCCCGAGTACTAGAAAGACAGGCAGGAGCCACTACTCTTGACAAGAAACCAGTAGGAATCTTTTCTTGGCGGGTGCTAGAGATTGAACCCAGGTCTTTTCCACATGCTAGGCTCTATCCCTAAGGCACTGTCCAGACCCTCACTGGGGTCGTATAGATGGGGCTCCACCCTGCCCATGCCCCCCCACCAGGGGATTCTAGACCCACACACCAAGACCTCTTTTTAGTTTCCTTATTGACATAGGATCTCATAAACAGCAGAGGCTGTCCTCAAACTCTCCATCCTCCTAAATGTCTGAGACCACAAGCGTGTCATAAGAGAACCTGACGTCACCTTCAGAATAGTAACTCTTCTCTCCATTGACATATTGACTATTGACTATAGTGGAAAGTGACTATAGTGACTATAATGGCAACCTGTCATTGGCCATAAATCACAGTTGGGGAGCTGAGGTAAACACTGGGCAGGGGATGGAGTGGGTGTTTGAGACTGTGACTCAGAACCCTTGCCTAGAATCCCCCAGTGAGGGGCTTGGTCGTGGCTCAGGAGTAGCATCCTTGTCTAGAATCTTTTGACTAAGAGAAAAGTGTGGGGTCAGGCGTTGGTGGCACACGCCTTTAATCCCAGCACTCGGGAGGCAGAGACAGGTGGATCTCTGTGAGTTCAAGGCCAGCCTGGTCTCCAGAGCGAGTGCCAGGATAGGCTCCAAAGCTACACAGAGAAACCCTGTCTCGAAACACCCCCCCAAAAAAAAGAGAGAGAAGAGAGAGGAAAGTATGGAAACTCTGATGTGTAAAGTCTGGTGCTTCGGCAAATCAAAGAGGAACTTGAATAATGACAGGCAGGGGAAGAACTCGAGTCCCTGATTCTTCCATCCCACAGAGATGTGAGGAGCTGTTGGTGTCTTGGAGTTACCGGTCCTGCTGCTTCATCCCTGGGGACCAGGAAGGTGACCCCAGGAAGAAGTCAGGGTTGAGGTCATCATGCCCTGGATACCGTGAGAAATGAACTGAGCTGGTTGGGGAGGGCAATGCTCAGTGCTGAAGTCATTGTCAGCCCGTAGCCTCATGTGGGCATGCATCTAGATTTGACTGCCTACACCTAAGCTGATTACCCTGTCGGCTGCAAGCAAATGAATGTAGGAGTTGGGATTATGTCACTTCTGTGTCTAACTCACTCTTCTTATTTATTTGTTTATGTATTTATTTGTTTGTTTTTCCTTGAACACAGGGTTTCTCTGTGTAACCACCATGTCTATTCTGGAACTTGCTCTGTAGACCAGGATGGCCCAAACTCACAGAGATCTGCCTGCCTCTTTTTTCTGAGTACTGGGATTAAAAGCATGGGCCGAAACAGCCGGTTTAGGTCACTCTTTTTGCCCTGTTCCTGTCTGCCAGTTGTGGAGGTAAACTGAGGCGAGGATAAAGGGAAACATGATCCTGGACCATAGCTTGGATTTTAGTTGAAGCATAAGCAGACCTGGGCTTTCCCACACATCTTTCTAAGATTCATGCTGTGCAGATTGGGCCATTTGTCATATGTCTCTGAACCTTCACAAGTGAGGCATAGAGACTGAACAAGAATTGATCTGTCTCTCTTCCTCTTTCCCTCTCTCTGAATAATTTATGTTTTATGCGCATTGATGTTTTGCCTGCGTGTATGTATATGTTCTGTGTGAGGGTATCAGATCCCCTGGAACTGGAGTTAGAGACACTTGTAAATTGCTATAGGAATGCTGGGAATTAAACCTGGGTCCTCTGGAAGAGCAGGAAGTGCTCTATTTGGGGCATCTCTCCAGCCCCAAAGAAATTTTCTTTCTTCCTTTTGATTTTTCTTTTTCTTTTCCTTTCTTTCTTTTTTTTTTTTTGTTTTGTTTTGTTTTTTGAGACAAGGTTTCTCTGTGTGGCTTTGGAGCCTATCCTGGCATTCGCTCTGGAGACCAGGCTGGCCTCGAACTCACAGAGATCCTCCTGCCTCTGCCTCCGGAGTGCTGGGATTAAAGGCGTGCACCACCAACGCCCGGCTTGTTTTGTTTTTCAAGACAGGGTATCTCTGTGAAATAGTCTCCTGGCTGTTCTGGAACTCACTCTGTAGACCAGGCTGTCCTTGAACTCACAGAGATCTAGATCTGCCTGCCTCTGCCTCCCAAGTGCACTACCTGCCTTTTCCCTATGTACTTGTCTGCCTGTCTCATGGAGACAGTTTTATGTGGCCCAGGCTATTGCTTTGAATTTTAGTCCTCCTGCCTGCACTTCCAGAGGACTGTGATTATAAATCCACTGCACCACACCCTACTCGCACTGATGAGTTCTGGACAGTACTAGCTTTAGCACTGAGAACGGGGGAATAAGCCATTTTTGGCAGATCAGGCCTCCTATCCTCTCAGGAGGCTATGGTACTGTCTGGGCTACAGAATTACTTCAAGACCAGCCCGGAAAATGTAACAAGACTCTGTCTCAAAAATAAAATGCTTGGGCGTGATGGTGTATACCTCTCATCCCAGCATAGGAAGCTTGAAGCCAAACTGGGCTACATGAGAAAACAAAAAAACAAAAAACAAAAAACAGGGTGTTGGGGGGGGAATCGGAAAATTGGGGTCAGTTGTGGCTCAGAGGGTAGAGTGCTAGTCTAGCAAGCACAAAACATTACCAACACCAGATAAATCAGGCCTGGCACTGCAGCTCCACAGTCCCAGCACCTGGGAGGTGGATACAGAAGGGTCAGGAGTTCAAGATCAGTCCCCATACATGTAAATATGAGGCCAGCCAAAGCTAGTGGGATTCTGAGTGAATGAATGATTAGGGATGTGGTACTATTTATACTTCTTTTGCATCTGTAAGGCCACACACACACACACACACACACACAATTGTTTATTTTAGTTTTTCGAGACAGGGTTTCTCTGTTTCTCTGTGATTTTGGAGCCTGGCACTCGCTCTGTAGACCAGGCTGGTCTCGAATTCACAGAGATCCGCCTGCCTCTGCCTCCCAAGTGCTGGGATTAAAGGCGTGCGCCACCACCCGGCAAAAATAGGGTATTTGCGAGTGGTTGTGCACGCTATAATTCCAGCACTAGGGAGGCAGAACAGATAGATCTCTGTGAGTTTGAGGCCAGCCTAGTGTAAATATAGCGAATTCCAGGACAGTCTGGTTACATAGTGAGACTCTGTGTTTTAAATAAGTAAATAAATATAAAAATATATAAGTATACACATAATTATGTATTCATATTCTGTTTTATATATATAATCATGCACACATAAGACAGAAACAAGATCAAATAAAACAAAGCAGAAATCAAGTAATCAAGGAATAAGGAAGTAATAACAAGCTGGGCGGTGGTGGCACACTCAGGAGGCAGAAGCTGGAGGATTTCTGTAAGTTCGAGGCCAGCCTGGTCTACAAAGCTACACAGAGAAACCCTGACTCGAAAAATCAAAAACAAAAAACAGGATTTCTGCACATGCTCTCTTGCCGCCATACCACGCACTTCCTCCTGGGAGTTGTAGTTCTACTTCGGCGCCTCTCGCGGGGCCGACCTTACTTTTCCTTCCGGCAGTCACAGAACTGCAACTCCCGGCTGGCGGCGCGCGCGCGTGCGCAGCGCGGGTAGCGGGCGGCATGTCGGCGCTACGCTGGACCCGAGGCGCAGCGGGGCTCGGCAGGGCGTTGAGCTCCTCTGGGCGCCGCCGCCCGACCTCGGAGGAAGGTAAAGCAGTGTAGGACCTAAGGCTGTGAATTTTCGCCTCCTGGCGGTCCGGTCACTTCCAACCTTTGCCCTTTGACCTATGGAGGAGTCCCGGGGAACCCACTTAACTCTGGCACTAGTTGGCACCCCCTCTCCAGGGCAGTCTGCAGGGCGCTTTGACTTTTGAGGCCTGCTCGCTTTTGTACTCTAACCCATTGTTGGGGACTTACGGATTCTGACTTTGACCTTTATGGCTGCTTGTGTAGTTCGGAGGCCTTCTTTCCGGATCCCGCACCACTACTCCCGTAGCCTGCTCTGCCTTTGAGCCTACGTTTTCCGGGGTCTTGATTTATTTGGGGTGCGGTGGGGTTATCTTTTGAGACATGGTTCTTCCGTGTGGCTCATGTTGGATGTTGGATTTGAACTCATGCACCACTGCTTCAATCTCTCGAGTGTTAAGATCACAAACCTGTACCACATGTCTTTTGATGCCATGTCTTTCTGAGCATGAGGTAAGTTTGAGGCAGGCCCTAACACTCGCATAGGCTGGTCTGGAACTCATGATGTAGCTCAGACTGAACTCCCACTGGAGACCCTGCTAACTTGGCCTCCAGAGTGCTGGGGTGATAAATGTGTGTACCCAGGTGCCCACTTGAGGCAGTGGTTTCTGCAGTCTCGCTCTTTGTGCCTCTCTCAGGGACCCTCAGTAGCCTCTGCAGCTCAAGAAGGAGCTCTGCTGCAAGTCCCCGAGAGCAAGATGTCCAGAAGGAGTGGGGCCATGCTGAACTGCTGGAAGGTGAGCTGGCATCCCAAAGCTCATCACACCCTGTGTAGGGCTCACACCCTCAGGTCCTTACAGTGAAGGCCTTAACAGAATGGGCTCCTCACTCTGCCTGACCACAGTCAGATGTGGTCCAGAGTCCACTGAGCACAGTGTTGCCTGAATGTCCTGTACGTGGCCTGTTGGGTCCTCTTGTGTGCTGGGTTGGTCTGGGAGCTGTTGTAATTTTATTTCCCGGGTCCCTGATTCCCACCTGGGACTCTCACTTCCAGGAAGATGTGAACAAATGCCCAAGGGAATTTGTTGGAATGGTCTTCTGCTGAGGTACAGTCTCCAGTTTGAGTCCAAATTTTTGTTTGTTTTTTGACACAGGGGTTCTCTGTGTAGCCTTGACTGCCCTGGAACTCTCTCTGTAGACCAGGCTGGTCTCAACTCAGATCTGCCTCCTGAGACCTGAAATTAGGGGTGTATGCCACCACTGCCTGGCTTTCAAATCCAATTTTAAGGGCTGGGTGACCAAATCTGGTGGACAGGATGCCTCAGGCCATTGTCCAGGTTTCCCTCCCAACCCCATGCCATGTCTGCATGATAGCTGCAGAAGGTAGAGGTGTTTAAAGGGATAGGCACACACATGTAAAGACAGTGCATAGCATGGCCCTGCTCTGCCATCGGCAACAGCAGCTTCCTGCCTCATGCTCCTGGCAAACGTGACGTAAATGAAATCTGTCATGTCATTTAAGCACATGGTGTGGTTGTGTGTCTGCTCTCTCGAGGCCTCTTTCTGTCATGAGTGTGAGCACTCACTGGTTTGTGGTCCACAGAGCATAGATCAACACTGCTGAGGTCCCCACTCCTGACAGATCAAATACTCCTGCCCCAGACCTTTGCACCCTCTTGTCCCTTGGGGCCCTGCAAGGGACGGTCAGCGTTCCTCTCCCACCTGTGTCCTACTCAGGAGGCCTCTCATGGATATGCCGTGTGTCTCACCCAGAACTCTCCTCTCCCATGGACCCCTACTACACTCCCAACTTTTTTTCTTTTTGTACAAATCTGAGGCGTGCCTCTGTCTCACGCTGACCTTGGGCCATGAACTGGAGTTCTGGGGGGTGGCAGACAAGCATCTGGTCCTAGGGATACCTGCATTGTGTGCCTGTGGATGAGCATACTGTTTCTGTGCTCAGTGCTACCCATGGCTGTTTTTGTATGCTGTGTTCCCAGCCAAGCTTTGGCCTTTCTGTGCACTAGCTTGGTTATCTCTGAAAGCTGCGTGCCAGGGGCCCTCTGTATAGTGCCATTAATTGCCTTTTGGCAAAAATGTGAGCATTTGATCAACTCACTTGGCACTGAGCCGGGGGTGTTTGCTATGTCACTACCCAGGTTTATCAAGTATGTGCCTGAATCAGAAACATGTTGGCCAGTGCCAGCATGTGCTAAGGCCCTGAGGTAGGAACCCTTAAGGCTGGAGAAGTGAAGGAGGGAGAGCCTGTGCTGAACAGAAGGTTTGACAGGCAGAGCCAAGGGTCTGATGATCACCAGGAGAAAGTTTGGGGTGACCCTGGGGTCTAGGCTCAGTATCCAAGTCCTTCTCTGTTCTCTGCAGTGCTGGAGGCTCGGGTGCGGCAGCTACGGGCGGAGAGCATGTCTGAGGCGACGGTGAAGAAGGTGCAGATGGACCAGCCTCCAAACGGCCACAGCAGCCGCTGGGCCCAGAAGCTGGAGGCCGAGAGACAGGTGAAGGGGAAGCGCCAGAAGGAACTTCTTGACCAGCATCAGAAGCACACACTCACATTGCAGATGGAGCCCTGGATCTGGAGCAAGAAGCTGGCTGGCTGCCTGCAGCAGAGCAAGAAGGGGGCACCCAAGAGCTTGGAGGAGGAGGAGCAGCTGCTGACCCAGGCCCTGAAGGCCGCCCTGCAGAAGCTCAGTTCTTGCACCCTGGCCAAGTCGAATGCCACAGCTGTAGAGGCCAACATCTTGCTCCTCCAGCAGAAGTTTCTGGCTTTCTTTGAGTGCTGTGCCTGCACTGACAATGTGCCCCTCGCCCACCATGTGCTAGTCACTCAGCACAGCAAGTGTGACAAGCAGCAGCTGCTCACGCTGGACATGTATAACACGGTGATGCTCAGTTGGGCCCGCAAGGTAAGCCCCTGCTCAAGTTCCTGAGGCTTTTCAGATAGAAAACACTCTTCCCGGGTGGTGGTGGCACACACCTTTAATCCTAGCATTCTGGAGTCAGAGGCAGGAGGACCTCTGAGTTCGAGACCAGCCTGGTCTACAAGAGCTAGTTCCAGGACAGCCTCCAAAGAAACAGAGAAACCCTGTCTCGAAAAAAACAAAACAAAACAAAAAACCCAAAACACTCTTCCCATGAAAACAAACAAGGAAAAAAACCCCAAAAAACAGAAGAGCTGGATGGTGGTGGCACACACCTTTAATCCAATCAGGAAGCAGAGGCCAGCCTGAGTTCAAGGCCAGCCTGGTCTACAAAGTAAAAACCCTGTTCCTCTTCTCCACGAAAAATAAAGAAACTGAGAAGGCCTGAGTGTAGTTCTATGTGGGGCTTCTGAGCCTCCTAAGCAGGGGCTGTCCCTGCTGTCCCAGAGGTCACTGAACCTTGAGGGACACACTCAGTGCTTCCGAGTGGGGAGCTTGCTCTTTTTCATAAATTCCTTATGTGGAAACTTGAGTGCTCTGAGAGGTCTGCTTGCTTCTTCCTTAGTACCTTAGCAAGGCAGGAGAATGCCAGTCTGGGAGTTCAAAACCAGCCTGAGAAATACAGCAAGATCCTTTTCTTCCCTTCCCTTCCCTCCCTCTCTCTCTCCTCAGGGTTTCTCTGTGTAGCCCTTTCTGTCCTGGAACTTGCCTCTGTAGACCAGTCTGGCCTTGAACTCACAGAGATCCACCTGCCTCTGCCTCCCTGGTGCTAGGATTAAAGGCGTGTGTCACTATACCTGACCCCGTTTATTTTTATTTTATGTTTTGCCTGGGTGTACGTCTGTGTGAGAGTGTCAGAAGCCCTGGTACTGGAGTACAAGCAGTACATGAGCTGCCATGTGGGTGTTTGAGAATTGAACTTGGGTCCTCTGGAAGAACTGCTGCTCAGTTTTCCTGAGCCGTCTCTCCAGCTCTGATCAGAGAGAGAAAAACAGTGAAAATGAGAAAAGAAACATAAGACAGATGGAGGCAGAGGCTCTGGGTTCAAATCCAGCCTGATCTACATAGTTTCAGACCAGCCAGCAAACAAACAAACAAACAAATAAGCCAGCCATTAAACACACCCACGAGCTCAGTGATGGAGCACATGCCTGGCCTGCGTGAGGTCCTAGGTTCAGTCCCTAGTAATGTATCCCTCAGAAAGACACCTTGTGGTCCACCTATGCCAGATCCCCTCAAATCACTGACACAAAGGGTAGATTTCTAGGGAACACAAAGAAGGGGGGTCTAGGTTCTGTTCTTGGCCCTCACTGCCACCCCCCCCCATGTCCCCAGGGCTCCTTCAAGGAGCTGGTATATGTGTTCATCATGCTGAAGGATGCTGGCCTCTCCCCAAACCTGTGGTCCTATGCAGCTGCACTCCAGTGCATGGGACGCAGGGACCAGGACGTCCACATCATCCAGAGGTAGGTCAGGAGTGTACTGGGGTGACCCTATCTCGTTGGAGCAAGCCAGCCCCTCCAGTACTGAGCTTGCACTGCCCCACCCTACATCGCCTCAGGTGTCTGAAGCAGATGATGGAAGAAGGGTTCCAGCCCCAGCAGCTCTTCACCGATCTGGTCCTGACAGGGGAGGAGCGGGACGCGCTGCTGAGAGCAGTGGTCAAGGCTGAGCCTGCCTTCATTCTGCCGCCACAAGCTCCAGAGCCCGTCAACACATCCATCCTGCTCCAGGAGGTCTATGCCAAGGTGAGTCCCAAGAGACTGACCTCAGGCACAGGCTAGGTTGGTACCTTCACAGACCGGCACCCTCAAATCTGCTCCCTCTGGCTTCCCCTGTCCTGGACATTCCCTACTGTGGATCCTCATACTGTGTGGCCTTTGTGTCTGGCTCACTGATGACAGTGTCCTCAAAGTTCCCTACATGCTGTGGTATATGTTTGAGCCTTGTTTATGGCTCAGTAGTATTCCAGTGTGTCGTAGGGTATCCTGTGTGTCCAT